GAGCGCGGCCGCTGGAGCCGATGGCAAAGCTGGTGCCGCCCCTCCCGGCGTCGTCGCGCGCCTCATGGGCCTCGAGTCCTGGCCCGCCGCCCCCGGCGCGGCCGCGGCCGCGCCGCCCAGGCCGCAGAAGCAGAGGAAGGTGGAGGCGTCGGCGGGGGGAGGAGACAATGAGCCGACGCCGGTGGTGGTGATGCTGCCGCCGAGCCGGCGCCCGCCCGCGCCCGGGTCGCCCACGCACGCGCCGCGGAGCCACCACAGCGCCGACCTGCCGGCGAGGAGCCCCAGGCAGAGCCGCCTCGTGCACGCCGCCGCGTCGAGGCTGCTGGAGCCGGGCGCGCGCGCGAGCTCGAGGGCCGGCGCCAGGCTGCAGGCCATCGCGTACGCCTGCTCCTCGCCGCAGCACCGCGGCCACCCCGGCGCCCCGCAGCAGAGCTGGGGCACGCTCGAGCTCGACGACTTCCTGTCTCGCTCCGATAGCCTGTCGTTGGAGCGTCGCGCACCTCCTCCTCCGGAGCTGGATGCAGATCAACGGGGCAATGCCGTCGGTTCCCGCTGCTGGCAGGAGACAGACTCCATGAACACCATGAGCAGCACTGCTGCTGCAGGCTCAGTGACAAGCACTAGTCATACCATTGTGGTGCCAAGAGTGGATTCCTACGATGCACACATGAGTAGAGGCAGCAGCTCTGATGTGGATGCAGTGCATAGAGATTATAGAGCAAGAACTGGGGGAATGGGCAGTTATGCTGGGGTCAGATCGAGCAATGCCGGCGCCGGCGCAAGAACCGGAGAACAGAGGATGTTGCGCAAACGGGGAGCCTTGTCTAGGCCAGATGTTCCAAGGAGTGCTGTGTCTGGGAACTTGGCTAGTTCAACGCGGTCGATCGGCAATGCTCGTGAACCGGCACCTGCTAGTAGTAGGAGGGCAGCACACAATTCTGGCAGTAGTAGCATGAGGGCACCACACAATTCTGGTCCGAGGAGGGAATCGACGAGTTCGACCACCCCGCAAAGAAGCACACTAAGAGACGTGATCGACCGAAATGGGTCGGCGTCCACAAGTAGGTATACAAGCAATGCATCTGGGCAGAGAAGAGGATCACGCAAGAAAATCGACCGCGGTACCGCAGCCAGTAACAGAGGAGGCCGCAACACGGTTGCATTTGCCTCTAGTTCATCCGCGAGACCGGTATCCAGGGGTTCATCAGATGGCAAAGTTTCAGAGAACAGAGGGCTCCGAGGTACACACTCCGATACCGATTGCACAAGAAGGCCGGTGGTAGATGCCGAATGTTCTGAAGCCGAACCTTGTGCCGTGAGCGCCACATCTGAGAAAGAGGAATTTAGGAGACTGCTGAAAGCAAAGGTCAACGAGCTTGGCCTGTCTGATAGGGTTGAACCAAGCGATGGTTGTTCAGCAAACTTGACTGTGTCGGTGCTCCAAGAGCTCATTTCTGCCCTGACTAATGACACAAACACCTCAGCATCCCAAAGCAGTAACTTTTCCGACTCATCGGCTCCTCTCAATAATGCTGAGACTATATACAGTTCCAATGATCAATCACCTGAGTTTCACAAGAGTTATCAGGTCAGTTTTGACGTTGCCCTACTGCTTCATTTTGTCAACCTTTTATATCTGTTACTTATGTTTACTTCAGCAATATTGATCAGTCAATCATGAAATTACCTCTTTGATAGTATGTCCATACGATGAAACTGTAGTGCTTATACTTAACACTTTGTCTAATGGTAGAGACCGCTAAGGAAGCACTTGCTTGAATCCATGCCTGGTACATTTTGTGAATTTGTTGTTAAAAAATTGTTCCTCAAAATGAGATTGGATGTTCCCTGGTCTTTACTGAAGTAATGGTTTACCAACTTGGATGACTTGGCATTCATTGTACTGTGATCAGTGGTCACACTACTTTTTGTCTAGCTGGCTATTGAAATTTGAAAATATTCTTTTGTTCTAGTTCCAGGGTGACCAAGGGGCTGATTCTCCTGCTACGTGCACAAACGACGAGCCCAATCAGCCGAGCCCAACGTCAGTCCTCGAAGCATGCTTCTCACACGATGCTTCCTCCTCAGGAAGTCCAACTGAAAAGATTGGTACGTATTTTTTGTAACACATTGAACGTTGTGCTAGAATGTAAGGATACTTTGTAGCTAGCAGCCCCAGCAATATTCTAGCAACTTTTAGTTATCTATAAAACTAGGTAGGGCTGTGTGTATCCGCGGATGCAGAGGTTGGGAGGGTTAACCTTCTTTTTCAAAAATAAATCTATAAGGCCTGGTTGAAAGGCCTTTTCTGAAGCAAGGAAAAACTGTGCTGGGAACTAAACTCTCCCCTTTATTGATTTACTCAACATCTGTTGCTGATCTGAAGTAGAAAGAAAAATCGTGACAAAACCTTAAATGAATAGCTATGTTTTGCCTAAAATGCATTTGGCCACAAAACAGATTGCATTCATCACGATGAGCACCAAAAGAAACAACAAATAGTTTACATGTATCAGTAATGTTTGAACTATTATTATAAGACATCGTTCTGTTATGATATACTCTTTCTAGAGAGAAGCTTGAAACAGTTGTGATTTACAGAATGGGTTGGATTGGTGTAGGCTTTGGCGTGTGTAATGGAGTAGATTATGATGATAACGTATGGTTTCTCCTCCTGTCTGCAGAGAGTACAGAATTCTTTATTTCAATGGAGAACAAAATGGAAGATCTCTTCAATTTAGAGTCTGACATTGAGGATCTGGCCTTGTCCATGGACACAACGAAGACTGCTGCTGCTGCTCATGGTGGCGGCGGCAGCGCCGAAATACCATGTGTTCAAAGCTCTCCAGATCATGATTTTGAGTTCTTGGAAGGCAGGCTCCACAGCATCGGAGAGGCCATTGCAAACGCTGAGCTGCTTCTGGACAGCAGCCTCTTTTGTGGCACACCGTCAAGTCTATCTCTCCATTCTTTCATCGTCGAGATGCTGGAAACCGTTGAGGTCGTCTTCTGCGGCGGATCGGGGAGCAGCTTTGGTTTGAAGGAGGAGAACAAGTACCAACGTACCAACTTCTTGTTGGATTGCATCGTCGAGTCGCTGGACTCGAAGTTCTGCGACTTCGGGAAATGCGGGTACAAGGCTTTGTTGCGAATGCCTCTCACCCTGAGCAAGGACGTGCTGAAGAGGGAGATATCCGAAGAGATCGGCAGCTGGAGTGAGATTTCGTCGGACCGGGCCGCGGAGAAGGAGCTGGACCAGGTGGCGGCGGCGAGGTGCGACGGGTGCCGGACCGAGGCGTTCGACATCAGCATCGCCATTGAGGACGACATACTCGAGGACCTCGTCGGCGAGTTCGCCTTCGACCAATGCTGCTGAAAGTGTGGAAGTTTACTGGTTGACATGGCATTGGTCACGCATGAGTAACACTTTGCAGATATATGTACTCTATTTCTCCTCCGAAGATGTTGTACAGCGTCATGTAGTAATATGGACGCCACCACCCCCTGGTTATTTTCCCTTTTGTGTACTACTACTGGCTAACTGAAACGTGCTAAAAGTGTATGCACTGCTCTTTTTTTTAACCTTCAGAGGCATTTCCAGCTGTTTCACTGAATAATGCCAAGGACTTGCAAGCTTTTATGGTACGGTTGTAGTTCATCGTATTTCCTCTTCAGCAATTTTTGCTGGAGCTCCTGTGTACGTTGTCCAAGGCCATTTTGCCTTTTGTGTAGCGATGATGGAAGAAATCAAGGTGGATGCATTAAGATTTTCTTTTCTTTTCGGAAAGGAGGTTAACCCCCCCGGCCTCTGCATCATATTGATATTATATTGATATGTACCTTTTGCCATGATATCCAATTTGGTGTCCATGCTCAGATGAGCCCGATGAACAGTAACGCAATTAAAAAAAGAAAAAAATCGTATTTGTTTTGCAAGCAGGATGTGCATGTGCATGATGTTCGTGCAAAATTTGGTGACGTTTGGACATTCCAGGAGCCTGGCCAAAAAAAGACGAATTCAGGCATGAACAGTGAAATCCCGCATTTCAAATGTTTCTCTCAAATCCGAATTCGTTTTTTTTGTCACGAGCTGCCTGAATGTTCAAATATAACCAAATCTGACACGGACATCACACACTCAAACATCTTTCACCATAATATTTTTTTGAATTTTTTGAAATTATTTATAGTATTTTAAACGGCGTTACTATTCACTCCGGGGCTCATATGAGCCCGGGACCCAAAACGCCGCTTCCCTTTTTGCTGGATCTGTTTTGCGGAACTTGCAAACCTCTCAAGCGCTTTAACCTTGCCGGCATCAAGCCGTTGTGATCCGTGCACGAGCTCCCACTGAGTGAGCGAGTTGGAATTTTCAGTGCTGCGTTTCCTGGACTCGCTCGACCTGTTCAAGTAGAACAACTCGGCAGGAAACAGGCAAGGATCAGAGAACAAAACGGCGCCGGTTCTCGAAGCAGAGCATTCTCTGCACCCGGGAAAGCGCTCCTCGATGCACTCCACTCTGTTTTAACAATGGGAGATAAGGCAACCGCGCCTTGAGAGAAACGCTCTTATCACATTGTTTACGGCCAACTTTCCCATGATTTGCTCCGTGCTTACCACCTGCTGTTCCGCCCCTTCGGTTCTTCTGATTTTTAAATTTGTAATAGATACTCGAACGGAGATTATGAATTTTTGTGTGTGGTGTGGCGTACTGCCATGACTGAAGAATGAATACTACTAGCACCAAATACAGATTTGAAATCGGACAGCATTTATCAACACCACAACAAGACGGAATTTTGGGTAAATTCAAACACATGAGCGAACATGATACTTACTACTTGGACAACAACGCTGTGCGAGGAAGCAAGAGCAAACACACTGTAACCGAGGGAACTGCAGCTAAGATAGCTAGCGACAATTCTACCAGTGAAGACCAAGACGAAGGCGAAATGCAGAGCAGACAGAGTCGTCCATGGATCCGGCACCACGGCCTAGAGCTAGAGGAGGCGCCTCTGCTGCAGCCTCATCTCCTCGTAGAACCTCTCGATGAACCGCTCGGCGCGGCCGTCCACCTCCTCGTCCCCCTCGAACTCCTCCGCCACCTCCACCCCCTCCTCGCCGTCGGACACCTCCTCCTCGCCGTACCCGTACGACGCGCCGTCGTCAGCCGCCCGCTCGTCCTCCTGCAGAGCCTGGGGCAGGGGCAGCAGGCCGTCGAGCACGGCGACGTCGATCCCGCCGTCCCCGTCGAAGCCGCCGAAGCCGCACCCGCCGCCGCAGAGCAGCGCGGCGAGGACCGTCCTGGCCCGGCTCCGCCGCCTGGCGCGCCACGCGGAGACGCCGGGCGGGCGGGGCAGGAGCAGCGGGGAGCCGGACGGGGAGAACTGGTACTCGCCCACGTAGGCGTAGTTGTAGTGGCGCAGGCGGCGCGCGCGGCGCCTCTTGAAGAGGAGCAGGGTCGTCGCCGCCCTGGCCTTGGAGAGCGGGGTGAGCGGCAGGGTGAGGATGGCCATGGCCCTGCCGAGGATGCGGGGCGCGGAGGAAGAAGACCTCGGCATGGCCGGCCGGGTTCTTGGCTTGTCTGGTTTCCCTCTCTTTGTCACATTCGAACTGGGCCAAGGTGGCGGACACAGTGATCGTGGTGGTGGTGGTGGCTGGCTGCAGGTGGGGTGGTTTTATGGACTCGGGCTCGGGCTAGCCGTTCGCCCGATCGTGCGTGCGTGCGTACAGTACACGAAAGCTTTGCGTTGCGTCTTAAAGCGCCTTTACAGTTTACATCTCGCCATCTCGGGGCCGCGACGAAATCTGCACGACCATTACTGCCTGATGATATCTCTCTGACTTGTTGGCGTGCGTACGCACGCAGGCCTCGTGATGGATCACTCACTCACTCGGATCAGTGGGGTCGTATGGCCTTGTGTGCTACAGCGGCACTGCGGCGGTGTAAATGCGTGATTTTCTCCGGCGACCATCATGGCCGGGGTCGTATACCGCCGCGTACCGTAGCTTTTTTTTCTTTGCCGTCCGTGTTAGCAAGGGGGAAACGGCGACCCGCTCCGTGCTTTGCATACTACGGGTTAGGGTTGTTACGGTGATGAAGTAATGCGTGCGTGATTGCACCGGCTTAATTCCGGTCGTGGGGCTCAAGACTCGAGAGCAGATTACGCGCGCATGGTTGCCCAACGGCGCGCTCCAGGAGATGGAGATGGAGCGGGGTCGGTCGGGCTCTGGTGCTGGTGGTGGTGCTCGTGGGGTCGCAGCCTGGAAAGCGTCCGTCTCCGGGCCGAGGCCGGTGGCTCTGAGCTGGCCGGCCGACCGACCGACCGACCGACCCCTTTTCGAACCGAGCTAGCCGTTGCCGTTGGCGCCTCCCGAGTCTCCATGCCGCCCGCGTCACGGCCACCTGACCGGACCTGGCATGGCATACGAAACTTATTTTCAGATCCCAGCATACGTGTGTACTACTGGGGAGCTTGGGCAGCCTGTTAAAATTGGGTCGCTCCATCCGCATTCACTCCGGTCCGTCGGGTGGTTGTGGTTGGATTTGCATCTACTGACAAGCATTCACCATATACTGTACCGACGACGGTGCGGATGCGCCCGGCACCACGGCCGCCACCGGCAGCATATACTGTGCTTACGTAGTACGAGTACCACCAGGGCAGATCGGTATACGTACGTACGTACGCGAGCAGGTCGACCGATTCGTTCGTTCGTTCGTTCGTCAAAATGCGTACACCGGCGGGCGGGAGGAGCGTCCGTTTCCATTACCCAATAATATCCAAGCTTTTTTTCTTCTTCTTCTCTACTGATCTACTCCTGGATTTGGGTGTGCGAGCTACTCCTTTTTGTTTTTCGAGAGTAGTACTGTACTACGCAAAACATGCGAGCCGCTCCTACACCTACAGTACAAGACGCCGTTTGCTTTTATTTGGATCTATCTATGCGTGCCGTCCCTTGGTGGTTGTTTTCTTTGACTCGTGTGCCCGCCCGTGGACATTTACTCTGACCGGCGTCCGTGCCGGGAGCATTCCTAGGCAATGCGTGCGTGCGTGTGTGACTCTGGCTGTGCGCAAAGACAAACACAAGGGCCGGGTAATGAACGCTTTCTTGGTGAAATTCGAGAGATTGTACCATAACCACAATCTATTGTTCATCATAAAAAACAACGTGCCCTTCTTTAAGTGAACTTTGAGAACGCTTATGGTAAAATTAAATGGCATTTTATTTACCAAATGTTGAAGTTAAAGAATTTTCCTGGTCGATGATAATTTTGTGGGGCGGTAAGAGTGTCTACAGCCGCCCGGTCACGATTTTTCAGTCCAGACAGGCTCAAGAAGAAATTGGAAGAGGGTTTGACTCAAAGAGAGCCCTTGGATGAAGCCCACCAAGAGATGAGGCTAAAAGGCCTCTATATATGTCATCTAAAACCCTAGCCGCCGCCTCTAGCACGCTCCATATCATCTTTATTGAGTATATTGTGTACGTGTATATTTGTGTGTACGGTCCATCTCTTATTTCTTTTGTATCGTTGAGGTTGTGGCCCACCTCTGTATTTATATATACGTGTCTGGTGCACCGATCAATACATTATGATTACACAGCCCACATCTTGTCCTACATGATATCAGTCGCAGCACGATCCTAAAACCTAAGAAGCCGCCGCCGTCGCGCCCCTACACGCCGCCGCGGCCGCCGCTAGTCGCCACCTTCCGCCGCAGCCGCGGTCTTCCCAAACCGCTGCAGCCGCCGATCCTCACTTCCGCTCCTTCCCCGCCACGTGCGCCGTTCCCCGCCGCGTCTCTTTCCCGCATCCCCCGCGCCGCTCTATCGATCGCCCGCGTTTCGCATCACCAGCGCCGCGTCCTTCCCTGCCCATCGCCAGCGCCACGTCCCTTCTCTGCAGCGCTGCAAGCCACCCAACCCCACGCTACTCCCACGTGCCCATCTCCAGTCAGCGTTGCTCCCGCGCCGCAGAACCTCGCTACCCTAACCAGCGCTGCTCCCGTGCCGCACTAGCTCCACCCCGCGCCGCGTCACGCATCGCAAACCCTAACCCTAGTCATGAGTTCCTCCTCCTCCATCGTCTCCAACCCGTTCGCCGGCCCCGATGTCACTCTCGTCCGCGACCTCAACATCCACGAGCGCGTTCCGGTAAAACTTGATCAATCCATCGCCTCCTACTCCGCTTGTAAGCGGTATTTTTCGCTTGTGTTCCGTGAGTACCTACTGCACGGCCACATGGACGGCACCGTGGACTCGTCACTCATGATCAATGACGAGGAGTGGATGATCCTCGACGCCACCATCATCCGCTGGTTCTACCTCACCATCTCCAGCGATCTCTTCCACACCGTGGTGGACGACAACGACGACGCCCACGCGGTCTGGACCAAGCTCAACGGCCTCTTCACCGACAACCGGCTGCAGCGCAAGGTCCTGCTCTACGATGAGTTTTACGGGTGCCAGCAACTTAACTCATCCATCGATGATTTTTGCATGCGCCTCAAGAAGCTCGCCGATGAGCTCCATGATCTCGGGGAGAAGACCGGCGACGAGCTCCTCACCAGCACCCTCACCGGCGGGCTCAACGGGGACTTTGGGAACGCCGCCTCCAACCTTACCCTCATCCCGGAGCGTACCTTCGGTAAGGTGGTCGCGTACCTCCAGTTGGAGGAGCGCCGGATGCGGATGGCGCGGACTCGCGCGACCCACATCGCCCTCGTCGTCGGCACCCGCGGGGGTCCAGCCCCGCCACCGCCGCGCCCGACGCCGCCACAGCCGCCGGCGCCCCGCCTTCCCGCCAGGCTTCCCGCCCGTCCCGCCCGTCCCCTTCCCACCGCCCCAGACGACGGCCAATGGGGGGGTCGTCGCGGCGGCCGTCGTGGTGGCCGCAAGCAGGGGGGTGCAGGTGCTCAGGGAGGAGCACCCCGCCCACCGCAGCAGGCTTATCAGCCGGCCCCCTGGTACGCCGGCCAGAACCCATGGACCGGCGTTGTGCACGCCTACTCCATGCCGGTTCCTCGGGCCCCTGTCCCGGGCATTCTCGGCGCCCGGTCACAGCCACACCAGGCGTTCTATGCCGCGCCGCAGCCAGGTGGGCCGCGCCGCCTCTCTCGCCGGCGCCGTGGGACCCGGCCCTTCTGGCGGCTCTTCACACCGCTCCTTCCCCGTCCAGCTACACCGGTGGCGGGGACTGGTACATGGACACTGGAGCCACCGCTCACATGGCGGCTTATCCCGGTAACCTCCACACCTCCTATCCTGTCCATACTTCCAACCGCATCACCGTCGGTGACGGCTCCTCTCTTCCTATCACCCATATAGGTCATGCATATTTTCCGTCTAACTCCACTCCAATATCCATGTCTAATGTCTTAGTTTCTCCTGAACTTATTAAAAATCTTGTTTCTGTTCGTTCTCTTACACGTGAAAATCCGGTTACCGTTGAATTTGACGAATGTGGTTTTTCTGTTAAGGACGCTCGCACGCGGATGGTGCTCCACCGATGTGACAGCCCCGATGAGCTCTACCCGGTTCACTCCGCCACCTCCACCACTTCCGCCGCCCCTGTCGCTCTCGCCACCGGAGTGGATCTTTGGCATGCTCGCTTGAGTCATCCTAATCCTGCCACCCTTCGCCATATACTTCGGAGTTTTTCTTTCACGTGTAATAAGAACGAGGATCACTCATGTCATGCATGTCGCCTCGGCAAACATGCCCGTCTCCCGTTTAGGGCTTCTTCTTATGTTGCATCGTACCCGTTTGAGTTAATTCATAGTGATGTGTGGACCTCTCCTGTTGCCAGTAATACGGGTTTTCTTTATTATCTTGTCATACTTGATGATTTCTCGCATTATGTGTGGACCTTCCCATTGCACCGCAAGTCGGATGTTATATCCACTCTCGCCGCCTTCTACTCCTATGTTCTCACGCAGTTTGGTCGTCCCATTCTCGCGTTGCAGACAGACAACGGGAAGGACTTTGACAACCTCGCTGTTCGCAATCTTCTCACCACACATGGCACGATTTTTCGTCTCACTTGCCCGTACACCTCGCAGCAGAACGGTCGCGCTGAGCGCATCCTTCGCACTCTAAATGCCTGCGTTCGGACTCTTCTCTTTCATGCCAATGTGCCTTCGCGCTTTTGGCCTGACACTCTCGCCACCGCTTCTCTCCGCATCAACATCCGCCCATGTCGTACTCGCGGAACTTTACACCTCATCATCTTCTCTTCGGTGCACCCCCCTCTTATGATGGGCTTCGCATCTTCGGCTGCCTTTGCTACCCTAGCATCGCCGCTACTGCGCCTCATAAGCTTGCACCCCGCTCCGTCGCCTGCATCTTTCTCGGCTACCCACCTAACACTAAGGGCTACCGCTGCTATGATCCCGTCTCCCATCGTGTTTTCACCTCCCGACACGTTTACTGTGATGAGATGGTGTTTCCGTTTCAGCAGCAAGTACCTCCTGTCGCCTCGTCATCGTCGGCCACCGCCGGCTACGACTACGTCAGGCGGACGGTCTCGTTCGGCCCGTGGACCGCCTCCGGGCTTTGG